GGGAAGAAGAACAAACTGGGGAGGAGGGTGGAGAGAATGGTGTGGCAATGAAGGGTGAAAGCCCAGAATCCCTGTGAATGTTCATTGAAACTAATAAAATTTAATAATAATAATAAAAAAAAAGAATCTATTGCTGAAGTCACCATGTCAATCCGTCTTGTTGGGGGGTCTTCTCATTACAAATGGAGGAGGGGAGATAAGGGACACTCATGAAATCTAAAACCCTAAACAACAATTTATACTAACTCAAATTTTTAAAAATTAAAGGGTAAGCTATAAGTCAGTTCTGCTGAATGAACAACAATAAAGAAGAGAATATATATATATATAATTTAACTAACCTATCATATGTTGAAAACTCAACCTTCTTTGCCATTTCTGGAGGTTGAGTTTGTCAAGAAGACAAAGATTCTCACCACTGGACCAATTGGCGGCATCAGGATGGATGGTGAAGAGATTGAGGTTGTACACAGATTTAGTTTGCTTGGCTCCATAGTCAACAGTCTTGGCACCAGCAGCCAGGAAATTAAAGGGCGCGTTGCCATGGGAAAGTCTGCTGTTAGGGACCTCTCCAAAGTGCTGAAGAGCAATGGTGTCTCTCTGGAGACTAAGGTGCATCTGATACAGGCTATGGTCTTCCCAATAACTTGTTATGCATCAGAGAGTTGGACAATGACCAGGGAAGATAGAAGGAGAATTGATGCCTTTGAGCTGTGGAGCTGGAGAAGAGTATTGAGAATACCATGGACTCCTAGGAAAACAAACAGATTTGTCCTGGAAGGGGTTAAAACGGGTGGCTCCTTGGAGGCAAGGATTCTGAGGCTCTGTCTAACATACTTTGGACATGTTGTGAGGAGAGACCGGTCCTTAGAGAGGGACATCATGCTTGGGAGGGTGGAGGGACAGCACAGGAGAGGAAGGCCCTCTATGAGGTGGATTGATTCAGTGACTGGGATAATTGGGATGGGAGTGTCAGAGACAGTGCGACTGGCACAGGACAGAGCAGACTTTAAGGCTTTTGTACATAGGTTCGCTATGAGTCGCAAGCGACTCGACGGCACATAACAACAATAAAAACATCATATGTTATTTTCAAACATATCTTTTCTCATGATACAGTAATTTTCCTAGATCTTAGTAATAGCTCAAGGTCCTTTAGTACATATATACCCAATATATATCATTCTGTTACAGTATAGAAATAATAAAGGATGTTAGGGAAAAGTGACAAACTGAAATGTTGACAATGAGAGGGTAACAATCAATGGCCCTTGCTTGTCTTGGGACTTCATGTCTCTTAGGACTGGAAGATTTATTAACTGTCCTTTGTGCTCTGAGAACTCATTGCAAGAGGACCTATTCTACCAAGTGTGCAAGATCTGAGAAAAAATAAAATTGGAAGAAAGTAAGAAGAAACAGAGAGGTATCTTGTCAGGCAAAAGAGAAAAGGGTTAATCCAGAGTATGAGGAGGACAAACAGGTTTGTTCAAGAAAAAAAGAGAGTCTCAGTTCAGCACAGAAGATAGATAGGATTGCATATGATCTCTTGGACTTTCATGGTAAGTTATGCCTTTCTTATTTACGGAGAACACAGAGAATCTTTGTAGACATAGCAAAGGAGGAGTTGCAGTGGAAGACTGAGATTGCACCCATGGTTTTCAAGATTCCTTCCAATTCAAAGTATCATAGATTTTAACGTGATTTTCATTCAAGCTCTGTGGTGTAAGCACCACTTTAAGGCTCACAACTTCTACTGAAGAACTCTCATTTCATCTTTTGGAGAGTGGTGCTTGATTATATGAATGAGTTTGAAATTATAAGAGCAGAGACAAGCGGAGTTAGAGTACCAAAATGAAGTAGTACTGTAAAAATAGTAGGCATACCAGATATTAAGGGAATACATGAAACATTATTGGGATAACTTAAGCAGACTAGAATGATTGCTCAGTGTCATAGCTTTCTGAAGTCCCAATGAGCTCCTTCTTTTTTTCTTGAAACTTCATCATTTATAACAAACTTTTTTGCTGGCATGCTGGCATTGTTGTTGTTTTTCTAAATTCTACTCTTCTGCAGATTCTACTATTAGGACTCATCAGCACTGCTATTGAAACCTAGAGAAAAGAAATAGTACTTCCATCCTGGAAATGTCACATGAATCCACTTGCCCTCCCATATCTGCTATTTGGCATTACTAGAGAATAGGAGGTATAGGTAAGAGAAGCAAAAATTTTGAATGATGATAAGGCAGCCCACAAGAGGGTAACAGCAGTACTGGTGACATGGAATTTGTTATAAAATGATCTGTTGGGAAAACCCCAAGTTGTAGCTAGGATTTGCTTTCTTAGTTATAAATCTTTCATTCCCTACAAAATTTCCACTATTAGAAGCTCCAAATAAACATCTTAAATATCTATACATTTAAAGTTATCTTCTTGGCATTTGTGGATACTGAATATTTGAACATCTCAAAGGAACAATGAATTTTGAAAGATAAGAAAATTACTTTTAATTTTATAGTAGAAAGCAATCTGCCTATGGGTTGTAAATTCTCATATCAGCATGTGAGTGGACATCCAGAATTCTTTGAAAGTGAAGAACAAGAGAAATTTTGAGAGACAGCAATTTTTTTTACTTGGGAGATGCTTTGTTAATTAATAACAAGAAGTTTTGGAATCTAGTATGGACTACATTCTTTTCCTGTTTTGTTCAGATACAAGGCACATAGAGTCATGATCCCAGTCTATGTTTTTGTCTTGTATCATCGAGTTGGAAAACATTCCGAAAGATTTTCAGAGGCAGTTTAATCACATCTGAGGAGATTATCCATCTTTCTCCAGAGGAGCAGCTGGTGGATTTGAATCACATGCCTGTGAGATGGCAATACCACTCCTTCTAATACTCAGATATTTTTCTAAAAGTTCTTTTACTTTTGTCTTATCTTACACTATGGAGTTCTGCTATACCTTACAGTACAACAATATAGCCATACATTTGCAATTATACAGAAAGTTGTTAAAAAAAATGAGTAATATTAGTATTCACCATATTCTAAATAAAAGCCTCTGAGATTTCCTCAAATTACATATAATAATAAAGTATCCTTTCAAAATGTGATGCTAGATATTTTACTTAATTATATCTTAACCTATATTTAGCTCTTGTCACAAAGAAAAGAAAAATGTAATGAGATGGTGATGCCATGCCAAGACTAAATGGACCAGACATAACTGTCTATATAATCAGGTCTATGCCAGGAAATTAAAAGATGTATTGTAATGCGAAAGTCTGCTCTCCAAGGTACTGAAGAGAAATGGTGTCTCTCTGGAGACTAAGGTACATCTGATACAGGCCATGGTCTTTGCTATCACTTGTTATGTGTCAGAGAGTTGGACAGTGACTAGGGAGGATAGAAAAATTGATGTCCTTGAGCTGTCGTGCTGGAGAAGAGTATTGAGTGTACCATGGACTGTTAAGAAAACAAACAGGTTCATCCTGTAGAGGATTAAACCAGGCTGCTGCTTGGAGGCAAGGATTCTGGGGCTTTGTCTGACATACTTTGGACATGTTGTAAGGAGAGACAGGTCCTTGGAGAGGGCCATCATGCTTGGGAGGGTAGAGGGACAGTGCAGGAGGGGAAGACCCTCTATGAGGTGGATTGAGTGACTGGGGTTCAGGATGGGTATATTGGAAACAGTATGATTGGCACAGGACAGAGCAGGGTTTAAGGCTGTTGAACATAGGGTCTCTATGAGTTGCAAGCGACTCGACTGCACATAACAACAAACAGCATGATGTCCAATATTACATAGACAAGGATAAGATAAGAAGAATACAGCCATGTTGGTTAACACTTGGCGTGAATTCTATTAAAGTGCATGGCATGGTATTCTGTTGTTAATGAGGAACTGAATCATGCAAATAAAGGGATTTAATGTAAATTACAGTCAGAGTCATGAAAAAAAACCAAACCCTCAAACAATGAACAAAATACTAACTTAAGACCATTAATTCTGGTCAATTAAATTCCTAAATAATCTGCAAATGAAGGTATAGTGTAGAAGAGGCTGTGTGCCCATTTTCTTAGGTAATGTCTTATGGACAATGGCCACATATTTAGAAAATGTGTCTGTGGATCTGCATATAACAGACAGAAGGCAGAGTTGTTCTGAGTTTAAAATTTATTTTACTACTAGCTCTTAACAAACAGTAAATACGGTTGACTTCCCAAGTGATTACTGATAAATACTGAAGCATTTTTTCCCATGAGTGACTTAATTTTGTTTTATTCTAACACAGATCTCATTTTATCGTTTTTCCCCTTCCATAAAGGTATGCTCTTGCGTTGTGACTGTGGTTTAGGAAGTCAACACTTATGGCATCCTCAAAATCCAACAACACCCTGTCCTCCACGTTCTATCTCACAGGCATTCCTGGCTATGAGGAATTTCATCACTGGATTTCCATCCCATTCTGTCTACTCTACCTTGTTGGAATAATGGGTAACTGTACTATCCTACATATTGTTCGAACAGACAGCCGACTCCATGAGCCCATGTATTGCTTCCTGGCCATGCTGTCGCTTACTGACATGAGCATGTCCATGCCCACGATGATATCGCTCCTAAGAGTGTTGTGGTCCATATCCAGAGAGATACAGTTTAATACCTGTGTAGTCCAAATGTTTTTTATTCACACTTTTTCCTTCACTGAATCATCTGTGCTTTTGGCAATGGCTCTTGATAGGTATGTGGCCATCTGCCACCCTCTGAGATATGCCACCATTCTTACTCCAAAACTAATCACCAAAATTGGGATTCTAGCACTGCTTAGAAGTTCCTTACCCATAATTCCTCCTCTGGCCCGACTGACCTACTTTCCTTTCTGCCGCTCCCATGTCCTTTCTCATTCCTATTGTCTGCACCAGGACATGATTCGTCTTGCCTGTGCTGACATCAAGTTCAATGTTATATACGGGTTGGTTCTAATCATTATGCTGTGGGGCATGGACTCTCTGGGTATTTTTGTGTCTTATATTTTCATCCTTCGCTCAGTGTTGAGAATTGCATCCCGTGAAGGAAGACTTAAAGCTCTCAACACGTGTGCATCTCACATCTGTGCTGTACTAATTCTTTATGTACCCATGATTGGCCTATCCATTGTCCACCGTTTTGCCAAACACTCTTCTCCCCTTATCCACATCTTCATGGCTCATATCTACTTGTTGATTCCACCTGTGCTCAACCCAGTCATCTACAGTATGAAGACCAAGCAGATCCGACAGGGAATCCTCCATCTGCTTCTCCCTTCAGAACATTAGGTCTGTCGTGGTGTAGACATGGTTTCAAGATAATCAGTCTCAGTAATGTAGACTCAAAATGCTTTGTCTTCTCCAGTGATTTAATCTATTATGTTGACATGAAATCTAAATCTTTCAATTCAAGACTAATAACAGAGTAGAAATAAAAATAACATGAAGAGGTTTTTAAAAAGTTTAAATCTATTGAGACTATTCAATGTCTGTTTTCACATTGTATTTCCTAAGTCCAATTTCTCTGAAAATAGTTTTAAGTATTTTGAAATTATTTCCATTGATTGTCTCCCTAACTTATAATCCTAACTTTTATTCAAGTTCACATCATATATGAAGTCTTTTGCTGAATATATAAAAATATTTTTAAAATTTAATTAGTTAATGTTTTATAATATTATTATGTCCTATCTTTCTTGTTATCTAAATTTTGTATTTATAAATGTACTTGTTTTATCCCTCTTAAGCTTCTTAAAAATATCTCAGTAAAATATTTTATTAGGTCTCAAAGCAGAGCATCTTGTGAGTCTTCATGGTGAAACACTATAACCTTAAAGTTTGTACCAATATTAACCATATCTGTGCAGGTTTAATATTCTTGAGACTAGAAAGGGCATATAAATATTTACTTTTCATCCCCCTTATTTTTCTTTTATATATTATTCAAATAGAAAGTAAATTTATAGTAATTTTTAAATTTACTAGTGAAACTTTACAAATATTATAATGTGTCATCAAGCATGGTAGATCCTAGGTTTAATAAGATGTTACTAATAGTATAGAACATATATTTATTTCAAAATAAATAAAGTATAATTCATTGGCATGTACTTAAAAGTTTATGACAACCAGGTCCAGATATTTAGGCCTCTTAACTCATGTAAAGAATTTTTTCCAATGATAAAATTATCTTTTCTTATATCTCTAAAATGATCTAGAGCAAAAGTGGTCATAAAGTTAATAAACAATAAATAAAATTAATTTTCTTCTTTCACATACATAAAATTATTCAAAGAAAAATAAGTCAGAAAAGTAAAAAGATTTTCAAAATAGTTTACAGAACTGAATATAAGTTTAGGTCTTCATAATATATTTTCACATCTCTTTTCTTATCCTATTATTGCATATAAATGGTAGTTTGGTTTCCTAACTTTAAGAACTAATGTGCTTTGTTTAAAAATGGCAACAGATAATAACTTTAGGATATGTAGAAGATAAATAAAGGCATCAATTATTAAATTAATGACATTTTTAAGTTTTAAAAATAAAGTATCCTAGAGGAAATATTTTGACCTGCCATAAGTTCCCTTCCATGGGGTTAATTTTGATTAATAATGAATCTGTAGAACAAATTAGAACTGTCCCATAGGAATTCCAAGGTTCAAAATCTTTACAGAAGCAAATTGCCCATATTACTCTCAAGGTGTGGTGGTTAGAGCCTGAGCATTTTAAAGGCTACACCACCAGGGTTTCTAAGAGAAATATTACAACAAATACTTACATTCACCTTTGGTCTACACTGGAAAACCTCTCTTTCCTGCCTTTAATTAAAGTGTCTGACTCAATTCCTGTGAAACTGTAAATCACTTAAGATTCTATTTCTTATTACCTTATTCTTCCAGCTTTTTATTTATGTTGACTAAAAAAAAATTAACTATAATAATGGAAGATATATATACATGTCAAAATGAGATAGTTTCTTTGCTGTGATGAAAAAAAAAATACAAAAAAACCACACCAAAACCCAACAACCCAGAATGTCATTTGTAAGAGAAAATACATTTTGAAAAATATATCACTCATTTTAATTATGTATTGATAGGTAATGGTTCATTATTTTTCATCAACTCTAAAATAAGACAATGACTAGGGATGAAAAAAGGAGAATTATGCCTTTGAGCTGTGGTGCTAGAGGAAACTTTTGAATATACCATGGACTGTTAAGAGAACAAACAGGTGCATCCTGTATTGGGTGAAACCAGGATGCTCCTTGGAGGCAAAGATTCTGAAGCTCCATCTGACATACTTTGGCATGTTGCAAGGAGGGACCAGTACTTGGAGAGGAACATTACAGTATCTGGAGTAATGAGAGTAGATGTGTCAGAGACAATATGTTTGGCACAAGATAGAACAGATTTTGGGGCTGTTGTATGTCAGGTCGCTATGAGTCAAAAGCAATGACAATGGCACGTGATGACAACAACAACAACAACAACATGGCTGTTAAAAATAAATTTATTTGATCTGCTTTTTCAGTATTGTATGTCTACTTTGTTCACATTTTTTAAAAATGAAAGAATTTCAGAATACTCTATGGTTCTCAATATTTATATGGTCTTTACAATAGAATGTGTTCACAATAACAATTCTTTCTCAGAAATGATGGTTCAGTTTCTAACCATTCTTAGAGGCATGGATGGTGACACTTACAGCCATGGATGGTGACATGTGATGACTCACATACTTTGGGTATGTTGTCTTAACTGGCCAGTCCTTGTTTAAAAAAACAAAAGTCATACTGGGAGAAGTAGAGGGTCAGAGAAAGAGAAGAAGGCCATCAGGAAGATGGATTGATACAGTTTTTATAACTGTGAGCTGGAGCATGGTGAACATTGTGAGAACGGAAGAGGAAAGTGCAAGTGTCTTATGTGTTATTTACAGGGTAGTGATGAGTTCAGCTGACTCGAGGGCATATAACAACAACCAATACATACATGGAACTCTTTTCAATATTAACAAAAAGAAAACAATACCTTTCAATATCAACAAAAAATAAAAACCAATACCTTTTCTTTTAGAGATTCAGATACAGTAACTATATCTCTAAAACTATCTAGTTCATGATGGTATATAGTATTGTTTAAAATAAAATGTCATATTTAACCTACTTTATTATCTAATATGACTAGGTTTTTAAAAATGAAAAAGAATTAAAAGGATTTTCAGAATACTTTATTGCCTTCAATTTTATTATAGTCTTCCTAATAGAATATATTTCCACATGTCTTATTCTAATAACAATTTCTAACGAACTGTGGCTCAGTTTGGTACATATGAGAGTCTAATGATATATATTGTTTAAAAGAAACAGTTGATAATAATTAAATTATGTATAAAAAAATCAATATGTGAATGAAGAATGATTTTTTATAAAATCTTAGAAGAAAACTTTTTATATTTTTTACAAAGTGCCAGGTATTATGCAGTTACAGAAATCTAATTCACCTCTGTTGAGTCTATTCCAGATTATAGTAACTCTTTAGAACAGGATCAAACTACTCCAGGTGTTGCCAAGACTAAGTCTTCATGGAAAAGTCTGCCAAATCTTATAGAGTGATGGCTGGTTGCTAATAGCTTTATCACTGTGTCAACATGTACCTTAAGATAAATCTAAATAATTCATAATTTGCATTTCAAACTTCAGGTCATTGGGTTTATCTGTTGTTGTTGTTATTGCTGTTATGTGCCATTGAGTTGCTTGAGACTCATAGTGACCCTAGGTATAACAGCTCTGAACCCCGCTCTATGCCAAGCTAACCTTATTTTCTCTGACACACCTATCCCCACTACCACAGTCATGGAGTCAATCCATCTCAACAACAGTCTTCTTCTCTTGCACTGTCCCTCACCCTCCCAAGTATGATGTCCCTCTCCAAGAATTTGTTCCTTCTTGCAACATGCCCAAAGCAGGTCAGGAGAAGCTTCAGAATCCTCTCTTCCAAGGAGAACCATGATTTCTACCCTCTCAAAGATGAACCTATTTGCTCTCCTAACAATCCATGGTATATTCAATATTCTTCTCTAGCAGAGAACACTTTAGTCTATTTCTTGTTAACTATGTCTGACTCCACTCCTTTACTTCTCATTTGTTAATTCTTGTTATTTTATCTTTTCAACACAACTTATCTTGATCACAGAAAAAACAATTGAAAATAATGGAAGTTGCATGCAGCCCTCAGGGCTGCCTTTAATGGTTTCTGGTGAAACATTCTTCTAGGTCGTGTAACCCTGGTATGTCCACTTGCTGTACAGAGGTAACTCGTGGTTGCTGTGAAGCTGAACACTGTGACACTGATGAGTCAAAAGTGAGAATGGCTACCCATGGTGGACAGTGTTTGGTGGGGCTCCCCAATTAAAACAAGCTTGGAAGCAGAAGTGGCATCCAATACCATAATAGCTTGCCTCTAGAAACCCTATGAACCTGGAGAAAGGACGAAAGTTAAACAAGTATCCAGGACTTTCGTTCACAGGGTCACTATGAGTGGCTTATGACTCGACGACACTTAACAGTAACAACACTATAAATGAGATAGTAAGAAAAAAAAATGCAGTATTTAGGACGATATAATATTGACATTAGTTGTGTTTATTTTTTAATATCTCTATAGGACTGTCCATTGCATGTTGTCTTTTTAACTTGTGGGTGTTAAAGGCATTTTTTATTAATGTCTGTGCTCCAGAAAGGAAATTTTCAAACACATGATAATAAGAATATGCTTAAAATATTGCCTCATAAGTTCACTGTGAATCAGAAACTATTCTATGTCAATAAATTTTATTTGTAAGAGGCCAAATCCATTGCTTTCAAGTCTTCAAAACTGACTAGAAAGAAATGTCAGCACAGTGATCCTTAAAAGAGAGCCAAACTGTGCCAGAGCAATTCCAAAGCTGTGGTTTTATGCAAGTGTTGCATCTTTGGTGAGTTCAAACAGATCACTTTTCATCTAGTAACCAGGCATTTTAAACATTGTGCATCTAGGCCTCCTTCATGTTCAAGGGAATTCTTTTATGGATTATTATGCTTCTGAGATTAAAAAAATATTGTCCTACCTTGTGGCTGTTATGTCCATTTGGGCACCTGCAACTCATAGCAACCTTTTACTAGCTTGTGCATATTTTTGTTAAATTTACTTTATATTCATAAAAAATATTTTAACACAAATAATCAAAAAACATATACTCTTACAACTAATATGTTTTTCCAAGTAAAATACAGCTTGTGAAGAAATGATTGGATATGTGCCATATATAGTAAGAGAGAGATCCCATGAGTGTGTTATGAGTTGAAAACAAAAGCATTCATTTTTGTATTAAACTCTTGTAAAGTCTGAATGAGGTGTCAGTAGTTCAGTGGTAAAATTCTTGCCTTCCATGAGGAAGACTAGGATTCCATTTCTAGTCAATACACTCCATGTACAACTAGCACCTATCTGTCTATGGAGACTTGTTTGTTTCCTTGTTATGCTGAATAGATTTCAGTAAAGTTTCCATAGTAAAACTGACTAGAAAGAAATGTCAGATGATTTGCATTTAAAAATCAGTCCATGGAAATCCCATGGAGTGCAATAGTCCAATTGGTAACCTGTAATTGGAATGAAGCAGGAATGAACAGTGTTTTAGCCTATTGTAAACTGAAAGAAAGGTTTTTGAAAGGAGAAGCTAAGAAGCATTTTACTTATCAGTACATATGGACACATTAAGAAGTTTGTTACAAGATTAAAAAATACATTCATTATTTGATTAAGGCATTTATTATAGTACTTATTTTATTTTTATATACTTATCTTATAGGACTAGAAATAGAAATAATCCATAATATAAGGTTTATATTTGATGCTCTTCATAACAAATTGAAAAAAAGAAGAGAGGTGGTGTATTGCAAAAAGATTGTTAAAGTTTTCCACTCAGTTACTGTGATAGTCCAATGATTTCAACTCTTAATATATTAAAATAGTCTTAGATGTTACTTCAATAATTTTATGTCAACATCTTATTTGCCTTACAAGAGAAAATAGCATTTGGAAAGGTGTTTATTTTAAGCTCTGTTCAGAAGTGAGGTCTTCTCTGGACAAATCTGCTGAAATTGATTCAGTTATCTTAGGTTAAATATCATGACGTTATGGCTATTACACATAGTAATCGTATGTACAGCAGATCTGAACCTTGCTTCATCCTGTACATCCTCACAATCTCTGCCAAGCTCAGTCCCATTGTGGTAATCACCGTGCTCAATCATTTTGTTGAGGATCTTCCTCTCTTTGCCAACCCTCTATCTTTTCTAACACATTGTCTCTCCCTAAGGGCTTTCTGAAAATATACCCATAGTAAGTGAGAGGAAGCTTCACCATACTTGCCTCTAAGAAGCACTCTCGTTGTACTTCCTTCAAGGCAGAAGGAAGTCTTGAAAGAAGTTATGCAAGTTTGGTTTTTGATCCTGAATTTTCTGGTTACTTGTAGACGCATTACCTTAGGTCATTTTGATTGGCTACAGAGTCCTAATACTCGCACTCGTATCTCTTTAGTTTTGACCCCATACACAATGGGGTTCATAGTAGGTGGAATCAGTAAATAGAGGTTTGCCAGGAGAATAAGAGTATACCTGGGGATATGGTGTCCAAAGCGGTGAGTAAAGAAAGAAAAGAAGGCAAGGGTGTAGAATATCAAGATGACACATAAATGAGCTCCGCAAGTTCCAAAAGCCTTTGCCCGAGCTTCCCTTGATGGTAGTCGAAATACTGTCCTTAGTATTAGCCAGTAGGAGATGGAGATGAGAATAAAGTCCAGCCCTGTGGTGAGGAGAGCTGCAGTGAGTCCATAAATGCTATTCAGGGAGATACTATTGCAGGCCAACTTGGCAATGCCCATGTTTTCACAGTAGGTATGATGAATGATGTTGGTCCGGCAAAAGTGCAACCGGAGAATGAGGAGGACACCCGGAGTGACTACAGCCACGCTCCGGACCACAAGGGCCAGGCCCACCTTGCAGATGAGTGAGCCTGTGAGTAGGGTTGCATAGTGGAGGGGTTCACAAATGGCCACATAGCGATCAAAGGCCATGGCCAGAAGGACAGCAGATTCAGAGAGGAAGAGAGCATGAACAAAAAACATCTGTGTGAGGCAGGCAGGAAACGTGGAAGGAAGAGGGCCCTGCCAAAAGATTAGGAGCATTTGTGGTACTGTGACAGTACAAAGGAGGATATCATTGAATGCCAGCATTGCTAGGAAGAGGTACATGGGCTCATGAAGGCTTCGGTCCCAGACCACCACCATTATAACCAAGCCATTGCCTATCACAGCCAGAAGATACATGAAACTGAAAGGGATGGAGATCCAGATGTGGAAGTCTTCTAATCCTGGGACACCAGTCAGCAGAAAAACAGTAAGTTGAGTGGATGTGTAGTTGGATGTGAGGGACAGGTGGTCAGTTCCTGTTAAATGAGAAACTAGAGTGAATGGAAGTGGGAAATTATTATACTTTTATCCTATTGCAGTCCTAATATTGTTTTTGAAGAGCGGGAATGAGGAAGTATAAACAGTGAAGGCTATGTCTAAAATAATCTGAGATCAGTTAAAAATGACTGAACGATGGTTAACAAATCACATCACTTAATTGAAATAAATGTATATTTTTTGGCAGTGGTTGGGGAGAGTGTAAGTCAGTATGATCAAGATTTTAGCTCTTGTAATTTCACTTGCTCTAATCACATATCTTTTTCTCTTTTAACTGCTATATACATATCAGATATCATGAGCTTTGATGGCCTAGTGGCAAGAAACTGCACTGCAATCCCAAAAGCAAGCAGTTTCGAGGCCACCAGCTGCTCTGTGGGAGAGGGATGGGCAATCTCCCCGCTTGTGATTAACTTACTCTGAAAACCTGCTGGAGGGCCTGCTATGGGTCGGTTCAGACCTGACGGTAAACAACAACATACAAAGATATCATAAAGAGTTCTGGTAACAGAATAATTAATCACTGATTTTTAACAGAAAGCCTATTTACATGTTCCCATCCAACAGTTCTATGGAAGATGGACCTAGCATTCTACTCCCACAAAGATTACAGCAAAAAAACCTTATGGGACACTTCTATCAGATGGAGTTGCTAGGACTTAAGATCAACTGGACAGAACACAATAACAACAAACAATAATGTATACAGTTGTCACCACTCCAATGAAATAACACATTCTTTTTTAAAAAGCTTCTTTTCAATAGAAGACTAGAGAAAAATTAATACTCTACAGAAAATAATACAACACTGTCAGTTTAATTGGTTTGAAATCCATACTAGTACTTTAAAAAGCTATCATGTTTGTTCATCAAAACTTTTAATCTGAAACAGTTATGTATAATAAATGTTGCCTTTGTAGAGCAGCCTAGAGGAAAGAAGCTGCACTGCAATCCTGAAATCATATGGTTCAAGGCCACCAGCTGCTCTGCAGGTAAAGGTGATCACTCTCTCCCTGTGCGATTGTCTGCTTCTGAAAATCCAGCTATTAGTTGGTTCCAATGCTATGGTTTACTACAACAACAATGTCGTTGTTGCTGTTGTTGTTATAATCCCTCAAGTCAGAACTGCTTCTTCGCTGACCTTCCAATTGGTTTTCAGAAACAAGAAATGGTCCAGATAGAAATTTTCCATCTTTCTCTCATTGAGCAACCAGTAGTGCATTTGAACTGCTTGTCTTTGGATTGATAGCCCAACTTTTTACCACAAATCCACTGGCAATCCCTAATTAATCTAAAAAGAATATCTAAAAAGTGCCACAAAAATTACTTTCCCTGCAGTTTCTAATATTTCTAAAGGCCTGTCACATCATCAAACAGACAGTAAGCTACCCTCTGTTTCAAGGTAACTATTAATCAGTCCTTGTGTTACTTGAAATCTTTTCTAGATTATCCTAATTTTTAACAAGAAAATAGGAAACATATTTTAGTTTACTTTTCTCCTAATCTGTCATGTGTAGGATACTATAATTTGGAACTGGATTAACATCAGTTAGTATCCTCTCTCTCTTTCACTCTCATAACATTTGGGGCAAAATTTCTGTCAAAAGAACACAGAAAATAGCTGCATTAACCTTGAACAGAAGTTCAAAAAGATATATTTTGTTTGAAGATACACTAAAAACAGAGAAGTTAGATCATACTTTTATGGGAATCTCTTAACCTTGAGATTTGGTTTGTTTTGTTGATTTTATTCCCTGGCAGTGTCTGGTGTTATAATAGACACACAGAAATATCAATATATTTAAGGAGAATACACATATGCCAAGCAAACAAAGAATGCAATAACAATAGTAAATTACACAGTACTAATAATAACAAATTTTCAATGCTTCAAAAATTCCACGGTTAGCAATTTCTAAAATTACTTAAATTCATGATCATAGCTAATATTTCAAGAAGGTATTATTATTTCTCTTTTAGGGAACTCAGGCATTGGAGGATTAAATTTTTCCATGACCCCATCACTAAAAAAGTGTGTAAAACTTGTTTTTTAACCAAAGGATTCTAGTTCCAGAACCTACATCTTAGGGAACTAAGCCATTTGAAATTACCTTTTAAATGCATGATTTTTCTAGTACATTGGGATAATAAATTAGTAGATCTTGAATCCTTTTAGTGTTTCCAAGAGTGAAAATCTAGGTCTTACCTAAACAATCATGACTGACTTACAAAACTCAGAAGATATACACACACACATTTATGAATACATTACATAAACACACAGTCTGTACATCAATATGCATGAAAAACAACATAGGGAATATCTAAATCTCTTGGGTATTTTAACTGTTATCTTCTTTCACACCTGAGACTAAGCCATGTTTCACATTTGTAAAATTATATTTTCCAGTTTAAACTATATGTGATAATACTTCAATCCACTACAAGTTTCTCAGCTGCAATTTTTAATTTTTTCAAGAAATATAATATTTAGTTCAAGTACATGAAACAAAGTTTTGCCATCTAAGTTTCTAAGGAACATTACAGTTGCACTTTTTCCAAGATAGGTTTGTTCATTCTTCTGTCACTCCATGATATATTGAATGTTCTTCATCAACACTATAATTCAGATATCATTTCTTCTTCTTGGGTCTTCTTTATTCATTGTTCAATGTCCACATACACATTAGCTGTCTGAATATATCATATTTTGGGCCAGACACACTTTAGTTCTCAAAGCTAAATTTTTGGGGAACTCAGAAAAATTTGGAAAATATTAATTCACTGCATAATCCTCAATGAATATGATTCAAACAAACTTGCTTATTCTTGAAGCCCAATATAATTTTTACTGGAAATAAATATGTCCTGGAATCACAACCAATTAAGATGATTACATAATAGCTATTGGTGGTAATTATAAACTTAAAGAATGATTTCATGTTAATACCCCTATAACATGCCAAAGTTTTAAAGTACACAGTCTATTTTCAAGAGAATAGAATCTTGTTTTCTTGATCCTGACAATAATTACTCAAGATCCTATAAGTGTGTGTGGTGTGTGTATAATTTAAAAATAATTCTGAGTCTAGACTTGTAGACTAGAAGCACTCTGGTTGCACTTCCTTCAAACCAAATTTGATTGGGGTTTTTTTGGCAGTCAATAGGATATTCAATACTCTTTGCCAACCACAACTTAAAGAAATAAGTTCTTTTTTTGGTTTTCATTATTCACTGTCAAAATTTCTGATATAGGAAGCAGCGGAATGTAGGAAGGAATTGAAAATATCATGGCTTGGATCAGGCCTACCATGTTCTTTAATGAACAAGTGAACAAAATGCACTTTGAGTAGACTGCAATTTTATTGAGAACTTAGAACAATTTAAAAGACAACTGGCACTAACAAGTGAATAGAGGAATAAGTAAATAATTTAGATAAACATATCTGTGAAGTTAGGTAATGGAACCCATGGTCCAGGAAAGCACTGGACCATTTAAATTTGTTGAAAGTCTCCAGATGTAGTTTTGGCTAGGATTTGACAGGAAAAAGATAGACCTAACAGTGAAAGAGTGCACTTGAAGCTTAAAATTAATTGAATATTATACACAGTGGTTATAAAATCTAGATATACAAATAATGATTATATGTAGATTGAGTCCCTTTATTTCCTCCAATGCTTGACAATAATTAATATTTTCTTTGTCAGAATAAAACAAATTATCTGAGTAATTTTATCTCAGAAATTAAAGAAAAGAATTAACACATCCTGTGAACAATCATTTTACACATTGTGTCTGTAAAAAGGGATGACATTTTACTCACATAAGATGCAGAATGTCACATACATAATAATAGCATCAGCATACACCTATATTGGATAATTTTTCCAAACTTTTAAAGCTAGCTTATATTTTCTAGAAATCATATTCTCCTAAATCATTCATGGAATTTGGTAATTTATCATGCTACAGCTCTGGTCGTAAGGAGTTGTTCTGTCAACCAGAGGCAGGCACGTGGAATCCATCAGCTGCTCAGTGGGAGAAAGATGGACAATCTCCTCCCATGCAATGTATAGCCTCTGAAAATCTGCTGGAGAGTCAGCTATAAATTGATTCTGACTGACTGAGACGTAATAATAACACACACTTAAACACATGAAAACTGAATAGCCCAAACTCATTGTCACTGAGTCTGTTCAGATTCATGTTCAATTTCTAACAAGGTAAATGTTAGACGGAGAAGACTATTTTCTTTGGAAACACTATGGGGCAGTTTTATTGGCTATTAATCTCTTTTGACAAGTTTATAATTATGATAGTGGGCAAAGGAAAATATTAAAAGTACATTTTCATAAAGCAGGAATAAAAGAATTTGGCTGTGAGAGATAATATGTTAACCAGCAGAGAAAATAATAAATTAACTGTTATGCTCAACAGAATAGCATGAAAGTGGGAAAGTGTTAGGAAACCTTCTTTAGTAAGAATAATACTGGTTTCAAGGAACAACAGTTCTTTCACTGAGGGGGGGAAAAATACCCCCCAAACCATAAGACAACAAAGCAAAAAGTCACTTTCCCCCACTCACAGCACAGGTAGCAGCTTCCAGGCCTTTTCTGTGGTGCTTCAGTTGTGAATCTGAAGCCTTAAATTCATTCCTTTATTTTACCATTTTCTCAAGTTCAAAATGAACCAGCAATCAGCTTCCTTACACTCCTTTTCCTGATATAATAGTAAAAACCATTCTAAATCATATCTTTTCCCAAGGATCAGTACCTAGTTTCTGAGAATCATTTTGTGCATCGTTGCAAGGATGTTTTTGTTTTTGTTGTCATTCTGTATCATTAAGTCAGAAATGACTCATAGGTGTCTTTCTGGTGCATTTTTAGAGTTAGGGAATCACACAGGAGGAGATTGCTCATCTTTCTCCTGCAAATCAGCTGGTGATAGTGCAATTCTTCACCATAGAGGTAGTGATGACCAATTCTAAGGAATGTATTTTATAGATTCCACAATAATATAATTCAAGATAAAATGTCTGTAGAAACTTTGAGCACTCTTACAACTATCACTGCTACCTCTAGGTTTGTCCAAATCTCACCTTCTTTTAAGTATATGCTACAATCCTTCAGAAGATTTAGTCTATTTCTCTACCATTTCATTTACAGCTGTATTATTTTGCATCTATTTTGAATTCTTTTTTCTTGACTTATTATTCTTTTTCTTTTTTAAATTTTTAAACACTAATATCCATATTAATGTTTTGTTGTTGCTGTTAGTTGTCTTTGAAGCAACTTCAACTCATAGTGACCTTGTGAACAGGGTCTTGTCTGATCCTGCAACCTCTTTCTAATTCCTGCTATGCTCCAATCCATTACAGTCACTGTGTCAGTTGCTCTTGTTGGGGTCTTCCTCTCTTTCTCTAACACTCCATCTTTCACAAGATGGTGCCCTTTACCAAGGACTGGACCCTCCTCACAGCATGTCAAAAGTATGTAAGACAAAGTTTCACCATTCTTGCCTCTAAAGAGGACTTTGGTTGCACTTCTTACAGTACAGATTTGTTCATTCTCACCACTGAGTCTATTGTCAGCATCATGATAGAGAGTGAAGAGATTGAGATTGCTGACAGCTTCCGTTTGCTTGGCTTCACAATCAACACTCTTGGTATCAGCAGCCAGGAAATCAAAAGATTAACTGCATTGGGAAAGTCTGCCATCAGGGACCTCTCCAGAATACTGAAGAGCAACGATGCCAGTCCAGAGACAAAGGTCTGCCTAATCCAGGCTATGGTCCTCTCGGTTATGTGCTATGCATCAGAAAGCTGGACAATGACTAGGGATAACAGAAGGAAAATTGATGCCTTTGACCTATGGTGTGGGTAAAGAGTGTTGAATGCATCATGGACTGCCAGAAGAACAAACAGGTTCATACTAGAGATGTGAAACCAGACTGCTCATTGGAAGCAAGGATTCTGAAGTTTCATCTGATATGCTTTGGTAATGTTGCAAGGAGAGACCAATCCTAGGAGAGGGACATTATGATTGGGAGGGTGGAAGGACACTGCAGGAGGGGAAGACCCTTAAGGAGATGGACTGACTCAGTGACTAGAGTAATGGGATAGGTGTGTTGAAGACAATAAGATTGACTCAGGTTAGAGCAGAGTTTAGAGCTGTTGTACATAGGGTCTCTATGAGATGCAAAAGACTTTACAGCACATAACAACAACTATTTGTGGGTGTATATATCTATATATGTGTATATCTCTATATATGTATTTATGTATATGTGCGTGTGTGTGTGTGTGTGTGTGTGTTAATTCTTCCTCTGTTATCCATTATATAACTTTCAGGTACATAGGAAGCAACTGAAAAGACCATGTCTTGAATAAGGCACATCTTAAGTCTTTAAACTAGTGTTCTTGCTCAATAGCATTTTTGAAAGATCCTTGATAACAGATTTGTCCCAATGAAACATGTATTTTATTTGTTGACCGTTGTTACTTTTGATGTTGATTATAGATCCAAGTAAAATGAAGTTGTCAACAACTTCGGCCTTTTCTCCTTCTATCATGATTTTGTCAATTAGTTTGGTGCTGATGATTTTTGTTTTCTTGAATTCAGATGTAAGTGAAGATTGTATATATAGTCTTTCACCTTCCACATAAGGTTTTTCAACTCTACATTATGATCTTAGCGATCACATATGTACTAATCATTAGCAATCTAAGTTTGAAGTTGCAATCCCTTTTCTGAGTTATCTCTTCATGTTGTTGTTGTTGTTGTTGTTGTTATGTGCCGCTGAGTGGCCTGCGACTCACAGTGACCCTATGTACAACAGCCCTAAACTCTGCTCTGTCCTGTGCCAATCACACTGTCTCTGACACTCCTATCCCGATTATCCCAGTCACTGAATCAATCAACCTCATAGAGAGCCTTCCCCTCCTGTGCTCTCCCTCCACCCTACCAAGCGTGATCTCCTTCTCCAAGGACTGGTCTCTCCTCACAACATGTCCAAAGTTTGTTAGACAGAGCCTCAGAATCCTTGCCTCCAAGGAGTCACCCGGTTTAACCCTTTCCAGAATGAATCTGTTTGTTTTCCTAGCAGTCCATGGTATTCTCAATAC